TAGTCAACGTTCAATAGCTCCTTCACAATCTCTATATCTCCATTTGCTGAGGCAATATGCAAAGGGCTGAATCCATCCTGATTTAGTTCTCTTGCAAATTCGGGCCTCAGGTGAATGATCTCCTTAGAAAACTCAAGATGGCCACTCGAACAAGAAATATGCAGAGGAGTTTCGCAACCTGCTAATGAAACTCCCCTGAGCAGAAGAGTGTCTTCTTTGATCAAGCTTTGCAAGTGTTGCACATCTCCTTTTTGGGCAGCCTCCCTCAGTCTTCTGTCCATTTATTTTAACCAAAGAATCATGCAATATGCGCAAAGGAGTATCTCAGCCCTGGAAGTCTCAAATTCAACTCTTTTGGTATGGAGAAAAAGGGAGTTAAATTCAGTACGACTCGTTTAAGATGAGAGTTCTCTTCTTGAATTAATAATTGGCAATCTCAGGTTTATTGAATAGTAAGACAAATGTTAGTTATCAATAAGTTGCTCTCTTTTGATATTTAAGTTCAACATGTCAAGCAACTTATGTGTACGTTATATGGTATTCATCTGGTATTCAAAGTCAATGATAATATAGAATAATGTTCAGTGTATGAATTCAGACTTGACACAGGTTGGTCTTCATTTGAGAGTTTGTTTAATAGTAAAATACTAGGGAAGTGTCAAGAAAACAACACGTCAAGCTACTTTCATGAATGTAAAAGTTTGCTCAATATCTATGTTGAAGCCTATCATCTCAAGAACAGGTGATCAAATTCAAAAGGCTTTCAATGATTTTGATGAATGATTATGAACAAATTTTAATGAATACCCCTATGGATTCAAGAAGTGGCTATATAGAACAAATAAGTGTAACAAATACAACTGCAACTATGACAGACTTTCCCCCTGTTTTGCCGTAATTTGACTATCTCTAGAAAAATCACTTTTTGAAATGTTCTAAGTATAAATCAATTTGAGAAATACTTAGAAAGAGTCGCCACTTAATTTTTTAAAGAAATTAAGAAAACTTATAATTTTCAAAGATTTAAACAGAAAAAATCATTTGAAAATATCAAAGAGGTTTCGGGGTTCAATTTACACTTCGAGAAGGGTTTAAGCATTCGAAGTGTCCGCTAACATGCGGTTGACCTACGACTTGACTAAAATGTATTTGACTATTTTAGAAAAAATAATTTAAACATAAAATATATAATAATTTACACTATTCGGTTAAGTTTGAAAAATAGCTAAGAAATGAACTATTATATTTTGATCTTTTTGGAGGAAGAGACCTAAAATGAAAATATTCGAATTAAGGTGCAAGTGATTAAAAAAAACTAGACTAGTTAGAATTTATTTAGTTCATTTTAAAATAAATTAAACCAATTTAATAAATTAAAGTATGAAAAAATCATTTTTTGAATTAATTGACTAACTTTTTTGAGAAAATAACTAAGTAAGTATTTATTTATTTATTTACACTATTAGATTAATTTTGAGAAAATAGTTAAACAAAGAGCGATTTTATTTTTTAGGAAAAATGGGACCTTAATTGAAATATTTGATTTAGAGACAAGTAATAAGAATTTTAACGAAACTAAATTAGTTGGTTTTTGTTTGAGTCATTTTTTGGTTTATGTAAAAAAAAACTATTTTTAAACTAAATAAATAAAAAAATTGACTAAAGATTATAAATGAAAATACAAGAGTTGATAAAAAGTTTTGTTAGAAACAAAACAACTTAGATGAATAGTTCATCTTTTGGGGAATTCAACTAAGTTAATTAAAAATTCTAAAGTTAGAGTTAAACAACAAATAATAAGTAATCGCAATTAAATAATTAAAGCGTAAGGGAGAAATTGAATTTGGGCCTTTCTTGGGCCAAATTCGCTACTCTTTTTGGGGTTTAAACAAAACCCGTTTTTGGTATACAGCTCATGTATATCAGTGTATATTGATGTATACAGCCCTTTTTTCTGCGTTTCGGAACCTGTACGTCAACTCCAAAGACTTGTTCTTCGATTTCTCAAGGTTGAATGACTCGATAAAAGAATTTTGGGCCTTTATGGCCCTCTCAAAATGTGAAGGGAGGAAAGACGGGAGCCCATGAGACTCATCCGAGGGAGTTCATGCAAGAAAAGAAGGGTAAAGATTAGTAGAAGACTTAATTCTGAAAAAAAAAAAAATGGTGATTGTTTTAATATTAGATCATAATCTGTTGCCAAACTCATTTGATCAATTTTTAATTAGAACCGGATAAACTTGAACTTGCAAAACGATGTTCACACTTGACCCATAATGACAGACAAGAACATCACAATATTTGTTCCAGACATAATAAACATACATCCAACAATTGATTTACCACTAATAGTCGTAATAGTAATAACTTCATTTGTAAAGAAAAATAAAATAATAATAACAAATAACTGATGGCCATTAGAACTAATAACTTTATATAATTACTTTGGGGCCAATTCTAGGAATATGACAGATACTTAGCAACATTAACCACTTAAATACACATTTCAAACACATAAAGGAATCATTATCAATTAACACCACATTTAGACAAATTATAGTCACTGTAACCTCTAAACTTCACCGAGAAAATTTCCAAGAATAGGCAAAAATAGACACAATCATGAAATACTAGTATTGAGAGATGATTAGCTTTATGAGAAAAAAAAATCTACTTTACTTCAAATGAAAACAAAAACACATATAAGATAACTTCTACGTGATAAAAGGATTCATATAACTAGCATTAAATTGGAAACAAAATAAAATGACTAATAACTTCATCTCAAAATTTACATGAATTCACGCACAACATCAGGAACTACAAAATGTTAAGGCATAGAATGAGTAAGTAATCTTAACAACTACAAACCAGATTAAACAGGAAGTTATAACGGACTTAAATTGCTAGTTGAAAACTTGATATGACCTGAATAACATTTCAGCCAAACCAAAACAAAGATTCAATATGTTACTTCATGAGATTAGGCTAACCTTATCGAAAATCTACAATAATAAATCGAAAGGACAGACGAGATAATCGAAAATCCCAAAGAAACAGTGAAGAAGAACAGAACTGCACAACCAACACATTCGATTTGAAGCCAAGTGAACGTCAAACCGTTTTAGACGAAACGAGGCAGAGATTCAACTAATCACATAGATGTAAACAATATCACCAACATGAATCAAAGAAAACTTTATTGATTTTGGATTCGAACTTGCTGTCCGAAAACTCACAAGAAAAAAAACAAGATTATGGACGAACTAACGAAAGAACCAAACACTCTTGTTAACAATCCTCGCAACAAGTATCGAACACACACAATATGCTACATTAAAACGGAATACAAAAAGAAGCGATGATACTATCTACAAAACGACAAAATTTGTAGTCCGACATTTAGACTGAGCCACAACGTCCCCCAAGAACATATGTATCACATTTTATCACCAACCAAGTAGCATCTAATGACAAACAACCATAGAATAAAGACTTTCCGATATCGAAAACATCACATTGAACTAGGAAAAAAGATTTCAAAAAAAATGTTATCGAGAGAGGAGCGTTTACCTTTCTTCGGGCAGCAACTAGGACAGCAACGAGCAGATCGGTCTTTCACCACACGAAATCCGAACACGAACAATAGCTGCAAGAATATCAACTCCAAAACACTAAAATCGATCCCTCCCCTGTTTTTTCTTGAATTGTATTTAATAGGTATTAGGTACTTATTTAATTTTCTTTTTTTGATGCCCTTAGTAAGGAAAATTTCCAACTCCAAAAGAAAAATCCCCCTTTGACAGTGATAGAAAGAGAGAATATATAGAAGAAGAAAAAATCATTTTTAGGGGGGAAAATCCATTGAGAATTCAAACAACAATTTCAATCCCCTCTGCTAGTTTCGAAATCACAGTAAAGGGGATGGGCAAAAGCTGATTTCCGTGAAAAGGGGGGAAAGGGGATGACGAAGAGTATGGGCGCAGTAGACACCTGCTGCTCTCCGGATTTGCTGGGATTTCTGAGTTGCGTCTAGAAGAAGAAGAATGGGGTGGGGTCGTCTGGTTTCGTGAAGGAAGAAGATGAAGTCGAGGCGGTGGGGGTACTGTTGGGTTGTTTGGTCGCTGCTGTACGTATGTTGGTGTGGGTTGGCCGGTTGGGAATGTTTTGGGATTGTTATTGTATTGTTACTGTATGTAATGTATTAGAAATGTTAGGTGTGTCTTTTGGTGAATAATTGAAAATGGGCCTGGGTCAAGGGGAAAATGTGGGCTGGGAAATTGGGTGATTAGAGAATAATGGGCTGCTGAAAGTTTTTTTTTATATTATTTTTTATGAAGGCTCAAAATTTGGTCCTTTAATATAGCCAAATGAATTTGATTTCACCAAATTGAATTTCACTAGTGAATTTGGCTAAAGCTTAGATAGGATGAATTAATATAATTAATTTATGAGCTTCTTAATCTCAACGAAATAAAATAATCAACTCAAACATAAACTAAAATATATATATATATATATATATATATATATATATAAATTATTATATAACTAAACTAATTAACCAAATATTTAACTAAAACTAAAATCTTTTTGTGACCATTTTTGAATAATCATAAAATATAATAATTAAACACATAATTATGTAAAACATATATATTATCTAAAAATTATGAGAAGTGACAAAACTATTTAAAAATCTCGCAAACTATATTATTCTTATTATTATTTATTATTATTATTATTATTATTATTTATTTATTTATTTTATTTTATTTTTTTGGAAATTCTATAAAACTAATTATTTTAAATCGTTTGAAATTAGAGAAGCTCGAAATGATTAATTTATATTGTGGAGGGTCAAAATTGGGTGTCAACACCCCCAATCTGAGGGAATAGTATTGGCTATCTATGGCCTAAAAAAGAATTACATCATATCCTGGTTAATTTTATACAGTTAAAACTAGCAAAATAGAAATTATGATCATTTCAGATTGAACTCAAGAAGATTGCTTTTGATTTTCTTGTAGCTTGGCTTGTAACTTGTCATCCATCTCTGTATCAAGATCAAATATTCTGTTAAGGGCATGCATATTTTCAAGTATGTCACTCAAATTCCGGTTTTGAGTTCCATCACATTTCAAATGCTGCATTGGTCCATGTAGCATCTTGTTTATTATCGCTAGACTGAGATCATAGATCGCCTTCTTGTTGTTTTCGGAGAGATCATCATCACCTATCTTAGACAAACACTTTTCAACCTCAGCAGCCCTAATTCTTTCAGCACACGCCCTCAGCTTTTTGATAGTTGGAACAGTCTCAAGAGAGTCTTTAAGTGCTTCAAATTTTTTCACTTCCTCAGCAATTATGACCTCAGCTTCCTTTTTCTTCCGTAACCGATCCTCCTTATTAGCTTCCACAACCTCATTAAGATTGTCCACATTGTAAACACATGCACCTTCAAGTTCTGATACACTAGACTCCACATTCCGAGGAACAGAAATATCAATAAATAGCCTACTCCGGGAGGAGTTCACACAACGGAGAGCAGCTTGAACACTCTCTTTTATGAATAAAGGATCTTTCGAAGAAGTGCAGGTGAATATCACATCAGCCTGTGCAGCACATGATAACATTTCCGAGAATGGTTTGTACTCTATTATAACACCAGCATTATCTGTATTCAATTCCTCACGGATAGCAGCAACTCTGTCTTCTGTCCTGTTTACGACAACCATCTCTTTACACCCTTTAGCAATCAAATGTCTGATCACAAGTTTTCCCATTTTTCCAGCTCCAACAATCAACACTCGAGGGGACGTAGAAGAAGAATCTGGAATATGTTTCAGCAGAGCAAGCTCCACCGCCGCTGAACTAACTGATACTGATCCACTGGAGATATTTGTATCAGTTCTAACCCTCTTACCCGCTGTGATTGCGTGCTTGAACAACTCGCTTATTTTTCTACCAAATCCAGGCACCCTTTCCCCCTGTCCATTCTTAACAACCTGCTTAACCTGCGCAAGAATTTGACCTTCTCCCAATACTAGTGAATCTAATCCAGCAGCTACCTCAAACAGGTGTTGTGTAGCATCTTTATTATACAGCAAAAACTGGTGTTCACGTAACTCTGTAACAGAAACTCCACTATACGTACACATCCATTCAGTCACTTCTTTAATTCCGCGATTTTTTGGAAGCGCGACAACATATATCTCAATTCTGTTACAAGTACTCAAAACAGCAGCTTCTTCGATGTGATTTAAGGAACATAATTCGCGAATTGCTTGAGGCCATTCTGATTCAGGGATAGATACTTTCTCCCGCAATTCAACTGGTGCGGTATGAATGTTAAGTCCTATAACCATAATGTTGCTACTCATATTTGTATATCGATCAGATGTTTTCAGAACCTCCAAACCTGAAACATTCGATTCCTTTTCTACCACCGATATCTCACATCTAGGGCTTGATGAATACGAATATACCAATGGCTTAATTCTACTACGACTCCTCCCGAAAAATCTAACTTGATCACTAAAACAGTGCACAGAAGACGAATAATCACAATTGAAACTACGACCTGTCTCTGCAACTGCAAAAGAAGTAGCAAAACTAATCGCCATTGCAATACAATTTATGGAAGATGATTGAATCGCAAAGTACAATAGTTATATATATATAAGTATAAACTAATAATTCTAGAAGGATTGGGATTCTACATTTCCTTATTCTAATTATATGTTTTGTATATTAATTATGGAAAGCAGTTTACCAAAAAAATTATGGAAAGTTGATAAATTGTTTAAAGTTCAATTATGGAATTAAACTTTTCCTTATTCTGATTACTCCCTCTGTCCCATTTTATATGTCACATTTTCCATTTGCATTTGCATTTAGAAATGAGGTAATTTTATCATTATGCCCTTATTTAATGTTTGTTTAAGACAACTTTGTAATAAATGATGATTATGTTAGATTTCAAAAATATAAATGCATTTGAATGACTATTTAAATTTTAGAGTTTATTTTTTGGAGCCAAATTTTTTCACCAATTGATCCAAAAATTTAAAAAAATCAAATTTTTCCCACCTCAATTTTCCTATATATTTTGTGTACAATGTTTTTTTATATTTTTATATATAAATTCTTAAAGCAAACATGACAACATCAATAAATATTCAAATTCCATTACTTCAAAATTGATCTAAATTTTCCTGCTGAATCTGATGTTATTGATAATGAAATTAGACGACAAATGAATTTTAGTTCTAGTTCGACAAATCATTTGTTTTTTGATTTAAACACCGAGGCGCATATTGAAGAAGATTCGAATACAAATATAGGTTTGTTGTTTTGTTTAAAAATTTTGTTCGTATTTTAATTGTTTTATTTATATTTTTATACTTAATTCATTTTTACAGTACCATTTGAAGGGCTGCAAACTGCATCAGAAGAAGATATATTATTGGAAGAGTCAAATACAAATATTGATTTGTTGAAATTTCTATTATTTTTTTATTTCATATTTCATTAATTCATGTTTAACTACATTAGAGATGATTCATGTAGTTGTAACCTCCATTTTATCTTTTGTGTTCATAATTTTTTTTCAAAATCAGATTTTATAGAATAAGTAGTGAATAAAGAAAGTAGTTAATTAATGAATGAAGTACTCTCCCAATGAAATTAATTACTTGTAGATTTCCTAGGTTAGTCAAAGTAAATACATTTTCAAAATTAATTAATTAATGTATCAAGGGTATAATAGGCAAAAAATGGTAATTTATGCATAAATTTTATAAAATGACATATATTGTGGTCCAACTATTTTTTGAAAGCGATGACATATAAAATGGGACGGAGGGAGTATATGTTTTGTATATTAATTATGGAAAGTTGATAAATTGTTTAAAGTTCAATTATGGAATTAAACCTTTTCTCCAAGGAAATCATTATCTTAATCGAATAGGAAAAGAGTTTATAGATGATGCTATAAAGTGCGATGAAAAAGTTTCAAACCTAATCTTTAAATATAAATAAATTTTAAACACAAATAATTTTTTTAAAAGGAAACATTTGCAGTTTTATTCGCAAAAAATCATATATCATATATTATTATAAGTGAGAAGCTCCTAACCTCAAAATTGGATTACCAATTTGTCCTTCATTTAAATATATTTTTTTTAAGTACAACATAAAAAAATATATTCTAATAACTAAATACAAAACTAGATATAAATGGGAGAAGTTTTAAGGTATTCAAATGTGCATTATATTATGTAGTAATGAAGATATTGAAAGATAGAAAGTCATTCAAATGGATGAAATAACTTGAGTAAGTTGTTAGCGGAAGTCCAAGCATTTCAAAATTGAAAAGTTATCTTGATGACACTTATTTCACATTATTATTGCCAACTTCAATGTAATTGTTAACAATTATATATGTGGATGTTCATGGATTATTTAATAAGCATAGCTTGTGAAACAGTGAATGCACGGAGGGAGTCAAGACATTCAAGAATTATTTTCCATGCTTTCTTTGATCATTAAGTTTAATAAAAAAAAATATGTTGCTTCAATTTCCTTAAAAAAAAACATTTCATATTTATTTTTTGAATTTTTAACAAGAAAGCATTTTCACATGTATTCACCATCTTGAAATGTGTATGCGTGTTTAGTTAAGAATCATGATTCGGACTACGAAGGTTAAATTATCTAATTATTTTATATCATTTCATGAATTGAAATAGAATATTTTTAAATTCTTTAAAATAAATTTTACATATTTATAAATTACAATCAAAAGTGAAAGGAAATTCACTTTTAATTATTCTGTGTTTGTAGATAATTCTTTTATTTATTTTCTTTTTATGAATGAAAATGTGGAAGTAAGAAAGAAAACAATAAAAATAAAACGGAGAGAACATAAACGAAAGGGGAAGACAAGAATTAAGGCAAAGGATATAGAATAGTAATTTTAGGTGAAAATAATAATAAGGTAAGAGAAAAAAAAGGATAAAAAAAATTAAAATATGATAAGAAGTATGAAAAATAACCATGAGCAAACTATTGTAATTTTTTGTTCATGCTATAAAGGAGAATAAACACACTATGTCATGTGAATGTAATATGGAGACAACATATATACTTGTTACAAGTGCATATGGTAATTCAAACTTTGGTACAAATTGAGAAGGTGTGTTATGTGTGTATTGTCCCTTTCTTAGAAAAGTAACAAACTACTCCCTTCATTTCAAATTAATTGAATTGTTGAGGTGTTTCATACCCTTTAAGAAAAGAAGATTAAGACATAAATTAGGCATAACTTTCCATTTTTACCCTTATTAATTATTGTCAAATTTATGATTAAAATAACTAAACATTAATTAATAACTAATTCCAATACTAACTAATGAAGGGTAAAATTGGAAGAACATTCTAAAAATAGTCTTAAAAATTGAACAGTTAAGTTAATTTGAAAAATAAAAAATGTCTCAACAATTCAATTAATTTGAAATGAAGGGAGTAATATATTGCAGGTTTCGACCTAATAACATAAAAATGTAAATTATTTATCACATTAAATTTTGTTGTCCAAATTTGGTAGGTTACCGGAATATCTAATTATTTGGCATTTACATTTTACAATTAAGAAGTCACTTATATAGGTTGATTGTTCATTTATTTCATTTATATTTTTTCGTTAAATCATTTGTGAAATTCATCACAATGTGATTTTAATATAACTCCTACCACATATAATATTTTCGTGGGACTCACATGCAAAGCACGTGTCCAATATTAGTTTATAATATGTATATCCAATAATATACAAATTGTAAATTATCGAACATTTATAAATACTAGATCAATTCTTGAGTTTCTTATAAGCTTGAATCAATTTTTATTCTATATTTGTCATAATCCAACCATGAATAGTGTCTTTACTCTATTATTCATTATTTAATTTTAACGAATAGTTGGACCGAATGATTCCGGCTCACCAAATATATAAGTTTGTGTTCTAAATAGTGAAATGTGGATGATATGTAGCAAATCCACACTTCATGACTTTGGAGATTCTTCATGACTTTGGAGATTTCCTTCATGACTTTGGAGATCTCCTTCATGACTTTGAAGGATTAGAAATATACTCCTACTTTTTATATATACTCATCTTATATGTAGATACACATGCATTGAAAGATTGAAAGAAAAACATTACTGCTCTTTCTCTCCATTTCTTTGTTATTTAATTTCTAATACATTATTTTATAACACGTTATCAACACGAAGTCTCTTATAAGGTATATTTCTGTGAGATAACTATTTTCATTTTCATATTCTAAAAACAAGTATACATTAGAATATTATTAGTTTTTATGTTCTCTAAATAATAGAAGATGGTAGTAAATTTTATTAATTAATGAAAATAAAATTTCTTATTAAAGGATACTACATATGATATTCTTAATTTTCAATGGTTAAAAGTTTATTATTTTAATCTAATTTGACTATTTTTATGATAGTTTTCACTATGCCAAATTTGTCAAAATTGGAATTCGTGGCACTTGATATTTCTGGCAAAAATTATTTATCGTGGGTACTCGATGTTGAAATTCACCTAGACGCTAAAGGTCTTGGTATCACCATTACCGAGGGTAATGCAACATCGAGTTAGGACAAAGCAAAGACTATGATTTTTCTTCGTTATCATTTGGATGAAGGATTAAAGGCTGAATATTTGACAGTGAAAGATCCACTTGAATTGTGGACTGATTTAAAGAAAAGGTATGACCACCTTAAGGCAACAGTGTTGCCAAAGGCTCGTTATAAATGGATACACTTACGATTACTGGACTTTATAACTGTATGTGAATATAATTCTGCCGTTTATAAAATAACTTTCCAATTAAAATTATGTGGGAAAAATATAACAGATGAGGATATGTTGGAAAAGACTCTTACTACTTTTCATGCCTCAAATCTGGTGTTATAGCAACAATACCGTGAAAGGGAATTTAAAAAAATTTCTGATTTAATCTCATGCTTTGTTGTGGCTGAGAAACATAATACTCTTTTATTGAAAAACCATGAAGTCCGTCCCACTGAAAATGCTCCATTACCGGAAGCAAATGTGGTAGAAGTACATGGCCAGTCTAAAAGAAGACAAAATAAAAATCGAGGTCATAATAATGTGCGTGGACGTGGCAATAGCAGAAAATGATATAATAATCATCGTGGTAGTGGTCATTATAAAAGAGAGAACAATATGGATTCTCAGAGTAATCCTTTAAGAGGCAACTATCATAGTTGTGGCAAAAATGTCATTGGAAGAATGAATGTCGGACGCTTGAGCATTTTGTTAAGCTTTATCAAAAATCCTTTAAAAGAAAGGCAAATAGAGGTGGTACATCTTCTTCTAATGCTCGGGTGGAATCACACTTCACATTTGAAAATAATGTCGAAGCAAGACCTTCGCAAATGTACAATGATCATATTGAAGCAAATTTGGCTTCGCAGAATGATGATTTTAATGACCTCAATGATATTATCCATTTGGAGGTTGAAGACTTCTTTGGAGATCGTAACTGATGTTTGATTTTATTTTATAATGAACAAT